AAAATATCAATTTTCTGTGGGTGTCTACTGGGTAGAGTGGAAGCATATTCATTCCACTTACTCTCACTAAAACCTCATGTCTGCCTTTTGAGTTACTGGTCACTGTAGCAGGGCATTTTACCATGATATTTTGGAATGGCCCTGAAATAAAGGCAGGAAAAATGTGATCATCCAAGGTCCATTTACAAGCCTGATACTGGTGTTGTCCAAGAGGTGCAAACATTGTAAGAGCTCAAAATGTAAGTTTTTTTTGCTACTTGTAACAGCTTTATCACCCCATATCAGTAATTATGGCTTAGTTTGCTTTCATATTTCACTGATTTCATACTCCAGGAATATACTGTATACATGATCGCTTTGCTCTTAGGTTATTTAATTAAAACATTTTGGTAGATTGAATGTTGAATGTCATTAGAAATGAGTTTGGACCAGTTATAACTGGCATGACAGCAGCCCCTGGTGGTTATAACATTTAATATCCTTAAATACCTTAAATGGTTTACCACGTGAGAATCATAACTTGTATAAATAGATAAACCATATTTTGTATTTTGCATTAAAACATTAAATATAGTTTTTTATATTAAGCTAGTATACATTTTATTAAACATAACATAGATAGCAGATAAAAGCAGTAAGTCATAAATTGATTGATAAAATATTGATATCATTAAAGTACAATAATAATAATACAGTGGTATGTGTTTGATAATTATACACCTAAAGTAGATTTTCTGATTGACAAAAAAGATAGATATTACTCATTCAGTCTTTAAATGCTTTGTTCCCCACAACATTCAATACACTTTGACTTTGTGCAATATTTCATATTAATGGTTATGGTCATTATAATGGTTTGAGATTATGTCAGTTTGCTAATACCTTTTAAGAAAGGATACCAGAGAGGGGGCAATGTCACTTTAAGCCCAGGAAATCACAACACAGTAAATTGCTTCTCGTATGTGTGAAGCCAAGCACAATCTATTCTGGCCTTGGGCAGAACTACACAATCTCCTGCTTATTTAGTCATTAATGTGCATATTTACCTGGAAAAAAAAGGTGCTCGAAAGGTTAATGTTGCCAATATTTTTCCAGGCTTCGATTAAACATACCTCAGCCTCTGCATAGCCTTTGGTTGTGTGTCATACATCTTTACAGGGATTGGTATATTAAGAGATATATAATGTACAGCTGCATTTCCCTGCTCTTTACTTAACCCACAGTCGAACTCTGGTTGGGATTGCTCTGTCTATCGCTGCCAGGGGCGCTGTAAGTGGGGGTGGTGTGGGGGCTGTTAGGACGATTCTATATTAAAATGATTTGGATGCCATGTCAACGAATAGAGATCCATCTTGAACAACTACTACACTAAAATGCTGCTTACACATTGATCAATCATCAATAACCTATTGATAATGTAATTTATTACATGAGTCACAAGGTCAGGTTTTCTGCGGCTTTCTTTACTTTAATACCTCTGTACTTTTACTAAACTAAGTTGGACGTTGGACAAGTCAAGTCAAGTTAGTTTTATTTATATGGCCCCAAAATAATAACATATTGTATATACCTGTAAAATTTACAACTATATGCTAAGAGAAAACCTCCAGAAAGAAGAATGTTTTAATTAAAAAAAAAAATTTCAAAACAGGAGAATCTCAGAAAGAACCTCTTTCCAGATGGACAGTCATGCAATAAGTGTTGTATATACAGAGAAGACAGAAGTAGTCTTAAATAGAAAGGGAGTGCCTTATTACCAAATAATTACTAGGTGAATGTTTTTTTAAAATAATTCACAAGAATTTTAAAATTCAGTGGCACTTCCTTAAACCCTGGTGTGTGGGTTTATCGAAAGAAGTGAGCACCCTCTTTTGGACCTGACAGGGACTGTATCTCTGTTCCTGTGTGTGAATAGTTCACCGGGGAGAATGGGTTGCCGTAGCAACTGCAGAGAGTAAAAGTGCAACCTCTTGAGTGTGACCCTATACCAATATGTTTAATTGTGTAAAGCCTGCTCTCATCCTCCTGAAAGAAGACAGAGGCAGGAAGCACGGGATGAAACGGAATAGACGATTTGTTTTCCGTGCTGTTAACATTTGTAACCATCAGATGATGAATTTTACAGTTCTATTTGAAATAAAACATGAAAGCCTACAAATACATTGAATGAGGTTTATTTTTGATTGGCTGGATACTTTGGTTGGATTAATTCTGTTTCTTGATTTTAAAGTTATCCGTGTTGATTTAGCCTCAACAATCCTGAAAAAAGTGAAATTATTGCAGTTGAAACAATTGGATGAATAATTGATTGACAGATAATCAAACTGCAAATATTTGATAACTGATTAACTATTTTGATAATCAATTAATTGCTCAAGTCACTTCTTAAAAGTGAAAACCACCATCCACTCTCTGATGTCAGCTTCTCCAGTTTGATTGATTCTGTTCTATATTCTGTTTTTGTATAATTGTAAACTGAATATCACTGGGTGTTGGTCAGATAAAAATAATATGAAGATGTCATCTTGGCTCTTGCTTCAAAAAACTTCTTATTGTTATTGTTGTTTAATTATGTTTATATGTTACTGTTGCGTAGGCCTATTAAAAGTCTACAGCTGGCCTGGAGCAATACATAATTACCTTTTTTTCTTCCTGCATCTTGTTATGTTTTTAATAAATAATCAGTCATCTAAGCAACACACACTGAGTGGTGGACATAATCATCAGTAGCACCTGCTGATTGTAATGCTGTCCAATACAATAGCTGTGCAATTAGTTATTAGAATTTTCTTAGGACTTGCAAAATCTAGTCTAAAACTATAACACAGGGAACCAAATGTCAGCTACCTTTTCCTAGTATCCAAAAATGTGGTTCAATGTCACAACATTACAGCCCTGTACAGTGCTAAATAAAATTACATCTAAACAAACATTACAAAAAGTAGAAATTAGTGCGCAGTTACTGTATTAGATTGCAATTATATTGCATAGTGCATTATGCTAACCTCCTGCGAGCCCATGTTTATGCCTGTGAAGGGAATATTTGCCAAATATTACTTTAAAAACAGGAATAATATAGAAAATAAATTAAAGTAAAAGATAAACCTGACTATTTTTATACAGATTTTCTGACGCAATATTGAATACAATGCCAATTTTTTTTAAACATATGTATATATTTGTGGTAAGCATATGTCAAGTTAATTTTGGCACAAATTAGATTTTGGATACAAGAAGCAGAGATTTGTTTTAGTGGAGCGTCGTCTCCGTTTTAGTCAGAGGAAGGTAAGGTGCTACAAATGCCAGCAACTATGGGGAGAAACTTGAGAGGGAATATAAGTAAATAAGATAAAAAAGAAACTGTATTGATCCATGGTAGGAAATTGGGTTGTTGCAGCAGGGAAAGTGAAAAAATACAAACAGGATTTAAAAATAAAAATAGAGTATGAAAAAAGTAGTCAGATGACAAATAATATGAACATTCAGAAGAAAAGAATAAACAGCTTTGTAGGACAACATGTAGGAAATCATGCCATTTGTCAGTGTATATTGTTTGTGGCTGGTGAGTGAGTAGACATTTTGCTTTAATTAGATTTTTACAATTAAGGTTCACCACTAGTGAGGCTTTTTTTTAAATTTTATTAGATCAAATCTTCCCCATAGCTAATTTGCAGGTAAGGCAGATTTATTTGAATTGCACTTTATCATACACAGAGGTCATTTAATGTGCTTAACAGAAATAAAAGAAGCATATAAATAAATAAAGTATAATAAGGAAACAGTATAAAAACACAGATTATAAAACTTTTGAATGAAGGCAGTGGAGAAGAGAGCAGTTTTTAACTTCTTTTCTTAAAAAAAAAAAAAAAACAGTTTAACTGGACAAGGAACAAGTATACCATTTCCTATTTTAATCTTGGGAGAAATGACTGGGCTTGTGTACAAGAAGGCATTGGACAAAGAGGCTAATTTGTTAGTTCCACCATTTCACAGGATTAAGATTTGTACCTCTCTCTGGAAAAAAAGACAGAGATTCAGAAATATCCTCTGAATGGAAGTAGCAAGAAGATTGAAGTCAAGTAGCGAAACTCACATGAACACTCTTCTTAGTGCATGCACTGTTTCCTTACTACTGCTGTGTTATTTCCCATTACAAACTGTATAATGCTTTAAGATGCATCAGAGTAATTCATGTCAGAGAATAGTATTTAAGAAATGCTTACTTAAAATTAGCCTATTAATGCTGTATTCACATCATCATGTGTCTTATTCGTTAGTTAGGCTTGATTAATCTGATGGTTGTTCTCTCAATAAGTGATCGATTGTTTTGCCTATAAAATGTCAGAAAACAATGAAAATTGTGTTCAAATCCCTTGTTTTATCTGACTAGCTATTAACAGACTCAGTTTTCTCTCTTACATGTCAAAGAAAACTCTCAAATGACTACATTTAAAAAACTGAAATCAGTAAATGATCAGCATTAATTCATGAGACATTACTGAAACATTCGCCAGTTATTGAATAACTGCCAAACCGATTCACCAACAAGTTGTTTTCAGCTCTAAACTGCTTTGTGGCACTGATGAACTCCTATATAAGACCAGCCTACCATTTTAGTTCACGTTGTTGGATCAGTTTTGAGGATCAAGCTGGCGCTGTCCATTACCTGCGGTGCTGAAATTGATGAACCAACCCTGCATCCCATTTTGCAATTTTGACAGCATACTAAGTGGATAGCGTTACGTGTTAATTCTTCGAAGTAAGGTGATACAAGCTTATAATTATAGCAGCCTCAAACAAGTGGCCGTGGAGAGCTAGTCGGAGCCAAAAGTGCCAGTTTCCTTCACCGGCTCACTCCAGTCACAGCGTGGTGTTGCGTTTTTTCCCCACGATCCGTTGTCCCAATTCTTCAACGGCCGATAGGTAATTTTCTTACGCTCCCCGAGCTATTAAAGGTTAAATTACGTCGTGGGCGTAGCGGCTTCTTGTAATGGCGACCGTGCCGTAGATGTGCCTAGGTTTGTGAAAATGAAGCGAAGAAGAAGTTATTTCTTTTAAGTGAAACGCCGAGGTTCCCCGGAGGAGGACTTTGCGTCTATAACCATCATCTCTATAAGTGGTAAACTTAGCTGTACTTTTGAACTTTTGTGCCCCCGAAATGATGAAGCTCAAGTCAAACCAAACCCGGACGTACGACGGGGATGGCTACAAGAAGCGGGCCGCCTGTCTGTGCTTCAGGAGCGAGACCGAGGAGGAGGTGAGGCCGGTGATGTTGCTGTCTGGCAGGCCAAGCTAACAGTAGTTGCCGTAGATGCTTTCAGTGACTTTCTGTCTGTAAATCGATATATTTATGTACACAGCTGTGTTTTATGCCAGATGGAAACGATGACTCACCCTTTCTTAGCATCCGGTTTTGTCCTCTGAGGTTCTGAATTAAACCTTAGTTTTCAGCTCGTATTGAGTGTTATGTAAGCCTCTTTAGCTGAGCAGGTAGTAGCGTCTAGTTTTTATACCTAGCGTTATACATTGAGCCAACCTGCTAGCTGCATGCTAAGGCTAACGTTAGCTTGCTAACTAGCCGTGTAGCAGCTGTGGGCAGCCGGCTCTCGGCCAACGACCACAGCCCATAGACCTGGCTGTGGCGAGTGGTGACTTTATCATTAGGAGCGGCCAGACCGATGGAAATCATTGTTTTGACTTTTAAAGTGACAGGCTAAGACGTTTATCTGCCTATGTTATAGATAATTTGACAAGCTAAGTGACTGTTAGTGTTAACAGTGTTAGCGTTAATGCAACTGGTACTGCTAGCCAAACATTGGACTGATATGTAGCTATTAGCTGTGCTAGCTGTCGCCAGAAGACAGCCCTGGTAGTGACTGCAACACTATTCGTTTTGCGTTGTTTACCCTATGACTTTAAATTCACAACGGTAAGATTTGGAGCCTCTACTCGGCTTAATATCAAACTCCAAACTTGCATCGTTGTGTACACATTTTTACCACGTAACATGTCTGTTAATGAGCCATAGCTTCTACCTTCGTGTGATCTCCAATGAAAGCCGCTCAAACTAGTCTGTGAAAGGATATTTAAGATCAGAAGCGATTTGGGAAGCTGATGTCCAGTCAACAACACGCACAAAGATGTCTTTGTAGTGGAAACATTTTACCAAGGGAGGAGACGAATTGAGACTAAACCAATTCCTCATTCTAGTGGAGGTAGAGGCCGGATTGTGAACAACATGGGCTGTTGATTGCAAGAAACACATCAGTATTATCAGCACGTAGCTAGAAACTTTTACCAGAGACTAGTGTACCATATCGGCACTAATCCAAGCTTCAGATTTTCCCCAACTGATTGTTGACACCTTGGACTCACCATACTTACGTGGAAAGAAGCAAACTCTTGTGACTCATACCTTGTGTATTGAAAATATGCATGATCTGCCTGCAACCACGCAGTCAACTGCATTTACACAGCATTCAGCTGGATACCTCAGCTCCAGGTCATTTCAGTGATAATCTTGATAGTTTTTGTGTGGTAGTTGTCAACTGCTGTTGTTAATTGCGAACACAGATCACTAAATATCTGCACACACAGCAACATTTGTGTAATGTTAACACACGCCAACAAACAACATTGAGTTAGACTGTAGTGCCTAACCAGTCTTGCATGGGATGCGTTGCAGGTGCTGCTCGTGAGCAGTAGTCGACATCCTGACAAGTGGATAGTTCCTGGAGGGGGAATGGAGCCGGAGGAAGAGCCCAATGTTGCTGCAGCTCGCGAAGTGTGTGAAGAGGTTGGTTTTTAAAATATTTTTCACAATTGTCATATCAAACTCAAGTCTATATTGTGTGCGCCTTTTCTTTTTTTGCCTTTGTAATTGACTGATGTCAGATAAGCATTCCAGTGTAGACTGTGCACCTGCAAACCTTACTTGACCCTTGTATTCGAAACATGGAAAACATGTGAAACATGCCTATCTAGACTTAGTTCATAGCCAGGAATATTGTTCTAAGAATGGATTTCCATTTACAGCGTGGCAAATTAGTTTGAGTATAGGCTCATGAGATGTATTGTATTTCATTTCTATTAAATCATGTCTGTATTTAACACTGGGCCTAATACCTTTCTCTCAAAGCCCATTTTGTCAGTGCAGTCATCCTGTTTGCATGGACAGAAAGAGAGCGAGCCTAGCAACATGTAAGCTGTATCATAGCATCATGTTACAAAGCAGTGTTTATGTGTCAAAGGAGGTCACACTGAGATTGAACACTGGCTACCCAGCGGTTCCACTGCAGTAATATCCAATCCTACAAATACGGCAAATGAAAGAAAACAATCGAGGTTCAGTCTTTCAACATTGGAGAGCAATCTATTTTTACAATGGCAGCGTTGTTACAGAGGCATCTTGAAGGACAAATGTGGCTTTTTTTGTTTATCTTTGTTGGGAAGGATGTGTAGCAATTAGTAAACAGTTCTGAAGTTCATTGGAAATCAATATCCTGCTTATACTGCCTACGTCCGTCCCTTAAATCTGGTGTTGCTTCAGTGCACATGCTGTTCATTGCTTGGGCATTTTGATCAAAATGGCGACAGGGCACTGAAGACATTGAATCTCACCCGGCTGTCAGCTCTTGGCGGGTCACTGACCATATAAAGCCTATTCTGTGTGTGATCCATCACACTGATGGATGCTGATATCATCTCTTATCCTGGCTCCTGCTGTTAGGTCGCTTTGGCGGTTCCAGGATGCTGTAACTTGCCAACACATTTCTACAGGGTCAAAAGCAATGTCACATCACTACTGAAGTTTGGTAAAAGTGCTAAAAGGCTGCATTCAGAAACTTTGTGGTGACTTTGAGTGGTACTCAATGCATCACCATGTACTGTGGCTTTCTAAGCCTCTTATTGGACGGTGGTGTAACAGGACATATCCTAATCCTCACAAGCTTATTCTGATGACCATATGAGCGGTGAGCGATTGCTTATGCTTATTGGTTTGGAGTCTTGCCAGGGATGACAGTGAATACACAGCACTTAGGAGCAGGCCAAACGTTACTGAGGGTTCCTTTGTCTGTCTGACTGTTCACAACCTCTGCTTATCCTTAGTGGTCATACGGCCCAGCCTTGCACCGTGAATACACAGAACAGCATCGCATAACTTGTACTGCAGCCCCAATGCTGTACATCCTCTTCCAAGATGATGCCCAGTAGTCTTCAGTTACACGAATGCCTGAGCTGGGAGACATTTTCCATCCCATCATAAAAACATACAGGTTGACTTTTGGCCTATTACTTAATCACTGGCACATCTTTGGGGTTTCTAGGGGTGGGCCTGTTCTTTTCCATATGATCTAGGCGAAAGCCTGAAGAGTACAACATTGAGTCCATGGTGCCGTGCTTGGAGTCAACATTTATTTATAGACTGAAACTGGAACCTGAAGAAGAAGCTGCAAAGATGTCAGCAAGTGGCCTGGCTCTGTATCTAAATCTGACCTACTATTCACCTCTGGGAGTTAAGACTTTGGACCTTGTAGATTATTTTTGTTATTAGAATATGTTCAAAGATAACAGGCAGTGAGACGTGTTAAAGGTGTCCTCTCTCGGAAAAAGGTTATGACATTTGGATTGTGTGGCTTAGGTTTTATGATCATAACATCAATTGGCAGCAAAGGGTATATTTTTGTTTTTTGTTTCTGACCTTTTCACGTGATCTGTCATGATACTCGAAGCATCTATTAGAGAAGTAGTCAGTATGTGACAGTAAGTGATAGCTGAACAGTCATGTTTATATGTGTTATGAAACTTTACAGTTTGGAACTGCAAGTATTCAATCAACTAGTTGATTGACATAAAATTCCTCTGCAAATATTTTGATAATTGATTAATTGGTCAGTACCGGCATTTGCTAGTTTCAGTTTCTAAAATGCGAGGATTTGCTGCATTTTCCAGTTTTTTTTCTAGTTGTAGATAAAATATCTAAAAACTAGACATTTCAAGATGTTACTATGGCCTCTGGGAAATTGTGACAGGCATTTTTGTCATCCACGACACCGTCAGTCCCCTGCTTTACACACCATCTTGCAATGAGATCACACATGCCGCAACGCTGTACTCAGTACTCATGTAACAATGTAGTTATAACTACTGAGTACTCATGGGTCGGAACGTCAACATGTTGACAGGCGTCGTGGCTGGTGTGATCAAAAGATGGTCTCTAGTTTTCTCTTTTCATTCATTTTGCAGACCAAACATTTGATCAATTAATTGATTAAATAATAAAGCCCTAGTATAAATTACACTATCATTATACCTGTAGTTTTAGTTATTATTGGTCAAGTTTAAAAACCTGAATTCCAGGTAACTTTTGTGAATGTAAATGTCAAATTTTATCCTGTCCGTGTCTAAATTGGACCTCATGTCACTGAAATGTGACATGAACGAAGAGAGAATTATGTAATCATAAACCAGGAATTGGATGAAGTGAATTTGCAGGGGATAAAAACAATGTTATGATGTAATGTAATCCACTGCAAAACTACAGCCTCAAGAAATACCTTGAGAGTTATCGGATCTAGAGAAAGTTAAATCAACAACTCTGACACCGTCTCAACACTATGTGGTTATATTCAATCCAATATAACCACTATGTGGTTTTGTGGTTATATTGGCTTAAGCCCAAATACTTCATAAAAATCCTTGCTTACCATTTTTACCATTTGCTTGTTTTTTTATTTCACAGGCCGGTGTGAAGGGGACTTTAGGTCGCTTAGTTGGAGTATTTGAGGTGAGCTGTTTGCTGTAGACTTTTTTTGGTCTTCAAATGTTAACATACTGTGCAGCATGTTTATGAGAAGTAAAAAAAAAAAAAAAAAATGACAATTTTCCCCCACAGAACCAAGAGCGGAAACACAGAACCTACGTCTATGTTCTTATTGTAACAGAGGTGCTGGAGGACTGGGAGGACTCGGTCAACATTGGTAAAGTACTACATTTGTTTACTTGTCAAAATGGGGATCATATGGACAACGTTCTCAGGCAGCCACATGATGTCAGCAGCTTTATTTTCCTTTCCTAGGCCTTAGTGATATTATAGTTCAGGGATTTTATTGTATGTTTGTTGGGGGAGATTTTAACACCAGCTTTGTAGTCACCCTTGTGATTTTCACTTCAATGCTGTCTATAGCACTGATAATTATTCAAAACCTATTACTCATGATGCTTTTGTTTTTTCTTTATGTTGTCTCTCACATGTCTTAATTTGCTCCACAATGGTGTGTTGTTCTGTCAACAGGGAGAAAAAGGGAATGGTTTAAAATAGACGATGCCATACAAGTGTTGCAGTGTCACAAGCCTGTGCAGGCCACCTACTTTGAGGCTCTCCAGGAGAGTTGCCTGACCAGTAACGGAACACCTTTGGTGACCACGATAGGTGGGGACCTCTCCCCTACCTACAGCATCAATCAGAGCTCCGTCTCGGGTATCAGATAACTAAAACCATAACTCTGACACCCCCTGGAGCTTTCGCCACCACTTGCGCTCTTACTTGTGTCATTTCTCTTCTCTTCTCTTCTCTTCTCTTTTTTTGTCTCAATAACATGGTTTGCCTTGCCAACTCCTTTGTGCCAGAACTGTGGCACAGACTTGATGACAAGTGTTGGGTGAATAGTCTGAAACACTTTGTAAATGTAAATGTAATTTTTGACCCCTCTTTTTTTTTTTTTTTCTTTTTACTGACAACTGCATGAAATGTCCCCTCGCTCCTTTCATTCTCTTTCCTTAACGCGCCCTTAGCGTGGTGTTTATTGAATGCAAGAACTACTTTTTACTGTTGTAATGTAAAAGTGTATACTTAGTGCTTAAGCTGAAGGCTTTTGGTGGTCTTTTTAACGTCTCCTCCATTTTTTGTTTATTTTTCTGTGAATGAATGTGCCCAATAGTGTAGTCCCTCCCCTGTTATAAGGATAGGAAATGCTGTCTGTATCTGAATGAACAGAATTGTGGGAAGTGACTTGTGTTGCATGAGCACTGTTATGTTGCGTCACACTCGCTCGAGTGACCTGATGCTGACTGTGCAACAGACTTGTAGTAAGGTCTTTGGATTCTCTTTATTTTGCTCCTTATCGTAGATATTGTGATGTCTCTTTTATCAGAAGGATATGGCCCCTCAGTAGTCTTTCAATTTCAAGTGTCAAGTGTGTTCTCTCTTTTTTGGGAAACTAGCCAAGCACTACAAGTTTCACTCTCAAACAGAGAATAAATACTGTACAGAGAGCAGAAGAATGTCAACACACAATGTAAAATGAACCACCTTTCTCCTCAGTGTCTTTACCTCCTTTTAATCCCGTTTGTTTTCTTTTTTTTAAAATGCTTCCTCCACATACTGAGAGGTTAGAAGTAGTATGTTTCAAAATCATGGACTTGTAATTTCAAAATGCAGCACATATCACTTAAGTTATTAAAACCAATTTCTGTATTTTACTCCTCACATTCAGTTTGGTTAAAAGCAATTGTTTACATTGTGTTCGTAAAATAGCACATGTGACTTTAGTGGGCACGTTTCATTATGGTCATTTTTTTTTTTTACCCTTCTTTCTTTAGTATTTAATCTGCATCCCCAAAAACACTCAAAACACCTGCTTGACATTGAAAGTAATGGAATCTATAATGCTGTCTTTGGCAAGATGCAGAACAAACAAGCCTTGTACAGTTTGAGACCTCGTTTTTAACATGTAAAATGCTTTTGGATACTAGTTTTTGTTGTTTTCTTTTTTTTTTTCCTTCTTTTTTTTTTTTTTTTCTCTAACGTCTGGCAAAAGTCTCTTCGGCCGAGCTGCGTCACTTGGCCTCTGTGGCGGGAGGCAGCTGGCTCAATACTGTGAAACTGGAGGCGCTGTAGATAGCATGTAAGAGGTTTTTATTGTAAATTGTTTATTTCTGTATAGATCAAAGGTAAGAGTACAAATGACAAAACACATCTTACACATCTGTGAGTGCTACATGTCAACTGAGGCTGGAAGAGCTGATTGAACTCATTGTGTAGGTTTTGGAGCTGTTGGGAATTTTCTCTTGAGATAGTATAGAGTACATCTGAGGTTAAAGAACAAGGAATGTTGCTGTGATTGTGGGTAAGAGCGAAGAGCCTATTTATAATCGGATATTCTCAATCCTTTTTTTTTTTTTTTTCCAAGACCAAAACAAATTTGTAACAGTAAGAGGTTACTGTTTTTTTCCTTATCTTTGGCAAAGCTATAAAATGAAGTACAACTACAGTCTGACTTTCCAAACAACTATTTAGTTTAGCAGTCTGTAGGCCTTTAAGCTTTTTTCAAGCTAGCAGCTGTTCCACCAGTGTCGGTATATTTCCCTGAGAGCGTTACTTTCTTAAAAGCTCAAACATCAAACTGATTTTCTTTCTATATTTAAACCAGCAATAAATAATAAATAACTTTTTTTAGACACTTGGGGGTATTGAAACAAGCTGTAAACACGATGACATCACCTTTTCAGTAACATGGCTAAATTGTTGGTAAAGAATTCCCTATTTACACATCCAGCAGTTTCTGAGAGACATTAGCTTTCATTTGGAGTTGTTGAATTAAAGTCCAATATTTAATCTTTTTTTTAGCTCCATTTTGGTCTCCACCAAACCTTGAGGGAAGAATCTGGCTCTTTTAGCTGCTAAATGCTCCACTATGCTCACCAGTGTCTGCCATTTCATGCTAGGCAGGTAGCTTACAATTGTTTTGTGTTGATTCTTAACTGAAAACAGCTGCCTACTGAAGCTGACCATGCTATTAGAGCAGTGAGAATGAACCAAAACAATGAATATTGGGGTGTAAAATCAAAACAGTGAATGCTAATTCTCTGCACATTCTTCAAAATGAACAACCTGTCATATACAAGTAGAACATTAATATGAAAATATGCATTATAGCTGCTTTAAAACAAAATAAAAAACAGCATTTATTTAAAACGTTTAGCACCTGATCATTTTAATAAAGATCAATAAATGTTTAGCTTGTCAGCACTCAAAAACTGCAGTTCTGATGAGGTGATGATCATGTGTCTATGGCTATGCTCAATGTTTACTTTCCAGTAAATGCCCATTTAACTTTGAATATGTACAGAAAACTCCAGTAGCATGATTCAAAAACTGATGAGAAACCCTTTGTGGGAAATTACATTGAGAACCGAAAGCTAGTGGAACAAATGCTAACGTCAAAAAGAGATAGGAAGGCTTGTTACAGTGACAGCAGTGGTTGTCAATTAGTGGTAACTGTCTTTCTTTGTCTTTTCTCCCATTCAGTGTTGAAGGGGGCATCACTGTCTCAGCAAATCAAGCTTTACACAGACTCCTCATATTGGCCTTTGATAATTCAGGAATTCAGACGTTTTTCTGAACGACTAACAATGAAAGAAGTCTAAAGTCTCCTTTAGAACAATTTGAGACTTTGACCTGGTTTTACTGCTGTGTATCTGAAAGGTGTGGTGGCTAAAGTCTTGCTTTATGATGCCCTACCTGGAACTTCCTATAAGATCTTGTGTTGATTAGAGCTTTTAGTCTTCATCTAAATGTGCAACGAGATGTTAAGGGGATGAACCTGTATATGGCGTAAAAGCTTAACTCAACCCTGGGTAATTGGCAATGATTTAACTCACTCTCGGTGGTTTGATGTTGGTGACAGGTACTGTCAAAATGAATGTGAGGAGGATTTCCAAAAGTAACAGCCAGTGACTTAATTATTAATGACCACTTGTTTTTTGTCCATATTTTTTTCCTGTTTTTTCTTTAATCGGTCGTGTTGTTGACAAGCTAATTTCTTGTATATAGCTAACACAGCACCCTAACAGCCAGAGGACGCACTGTGGCTTTGGTCAATAAGGTTTAGTGTCCTTTTCTCTTTTTTGAACAACTCCCTTGTAATTCAAAATTCAGGCTCTGTCATAATTAGAGTAATTTAGGCTGGAGTTCAGGAGGGATTTTATGAAATAAATATCTCGACATAAATGGATTATGGTTATGTGGAGTTAAGATGGAGCAAACACAAATACCCTTTCTACCTGGGGGTTTCTGCCGTTGTAATTGGCTCTTTTGTACGATGTTGAAGCTTCTGAACTTTGGGCAAAACAGAGGATTGATTAGTGAAAGTACAGTTGGGAGATTCAGATGAAGTCGCTTCCTTTTAATTTAAAGTTGACGGTTTAAATATGTATTTCCATGTCAATTAGCTGGCCCCATCTTGTGGACAAAGCAAAAAAAAAATTATATTAAAAGCACATCACTAAACAACTGAGGATTGTAACATTCAGTTTCCTTTAGCATGAGACTATTTTATCAACTGAATGACTTAAAAAAAAAAAAAAAAAGAATATGTCAATTGATTTAAAAAGATTGCCCCTAAAATACTTGCAGTTGAATAACAAACTAAACACGTGCACTTGTAGCTGTTGACCTCAGCCTTGAAGTGACAGTCGTAATTGTGTTCTCCAAGGTGTATGTGTCACTGGAATTTTCTTTTCCTCTTTTGTCATTTGGGACTGTGGAATAAAACCAGTGCGAGAAGACTGAAGATTGTAATATAAATGTGCCAACAAATAAACACCAGTATTTCACATTCAGGCCAGTGTCTGTGTTTGTGTCCATGTCTGTAACAGTTAGTGTTGTTTGTACAATCAGTCAGTACTCCTTTGTCGCACAAATACAGTTTGATGTAGAGAAGAGGATTAATTTAAATCTCACAGATGCTGATTGAACTTGGGTTACCTGCTTTCTGTTTTCATATACAAAGTTTTAAATTGTTGGAGTCTTCTCTTCAATTGCTGTGTCCCAGTTCCACACTACACACATGAACAGCATCTACAGGGTTGCAACTAACAACTAAGTATGTGAACTGAAATCATTTGTGTGCTGTTGATCCACACTGTTCTTCCACAATGCAGTGCACAAAGGAAGTGGAGGAACTGCTGCTCACAGCTGGAAAAAATTTAAATGAATTGTGGATGGTGGTGGACGAACTCCAGAAAAACATCAGAATTCAACTAAATACATTACATTTTTTGGAAAACAGTTGAATTCTGAAGTTGCAGTTTGATGGCACAAGCATCATTTCATGCTCGTACAAAACAGTTAATTAAGATTAATTTTATTTCTTTTATACTAACAGCAAACCATGTACTACCAGGATAGTCTATACAACGGGTAAGTTGTATGATTTTGGAAGACTGCATCCATTTCCTTTGTGAATTGCATATAGGGACAATATTACACATCACCATCTCACTCAATAGTTCAGGCCTTTGTATAAAGAGTATATGTTTTGTCATTTCTCTGATGTCTACACATGACAAACTCAAAACCTGTTTAGAATTGGGACACTGCTAAGTGGTGTTCTTTCACATTGAAAGCAGTCACAAAAGTGGCATATGTCATTTTATTTGAATTGTGTAATAGTCCACATTCATTCCCTTTAAAAAGCTGTTCCTCGTACTTTTAAAGTCACGCTTCACATCAATTTATACATTTTTTTTTCTTCTATTTCTTGTTAAGATGCCGCTGGTACAATGGATCTTTACATTCGAAGCACACCCACGCATGTCTTTACACTGTTTCTGCTTGATTAAACCTCTACCCACGATGAATTTAGGCAGCTACCAAAAACAATATACTAATAAAAATGTTTTAAGTATGATTTCACCGACCGTGACAGGTGCAACAGAGTTAAAAGCACAGTGAGAGTCAGTACAAGCCCACACAGTCCTAATATGGTTTAAATGAAAGCACCATTGTGGGGAACCAAGTAACTGTAGAACCTTTAAGTGGCTTCAGTCACTTATCAGTTCCACCCCCTTTCTGACCTATCATGATCGCAGCTTGGCGCCATATAAATGTGCCACAGGCCCCTTTTTACAGAGGACATTTTGACATTTCACAGTAGGAAAAGGAAGGTTGTGAATAACATAATTAATAGCCTAATTACAATTAGCCGCTTTGGTTTCAGAGTGCTGGTGTTTTGCACACTACCATGGTCCTGTGCTTTTCCTATGACAAGTGAAAATGTGAAATCTTCCTGCCAAATCACACATGTGGCAGGTTTCAAGTGACTTACCAGATCATGCATCCAACTAGAAGGTAAGTGCCTATAACCACAGGAACCTTTTTCTCCCAATACCAAGTTAAATTCAAAAATTAAGACCTAAGACCTTTTTCATCCCACACAGAATCCAATTTAATGCACGTTTTGCAATCATACTGCCCTCAAAACAGTAAAGTCTGACGGAAAACTAGTAGAGGCAAGATGACCTGGAATTATTTAACATCACATCACTATTACTTCCTAGCAGTATAACAATAATCCCTACTGATATAATTGTCAACTGGACCCAGAGAAGTAACATAACATGGATGGAATTACCAATTAATTATTTTAAGATAACACTTTTGCCAAAAATCAACGAGACTCTTTGCCACTGTAGCAGCAGTAGTGACAGTGTTTGCTGCAGGTCTGATGGTGCTGACTGAAACACAAACAAGGACTGTGCAGCACAATTCACTGTTCAAACAATCCCTCTTTTAGTTCATTACAGCCAGCAGATTTGGAAACATTTTGTAACCTTACTGCCTGACAGCTAAAACAATATATCCAAGGCTTTAGTAGATTAAATATAACTCTTTGATACCTTCTGAATTCAATGCTTTTTAAGACTTCAACTAACTTGAAACGGTTTGATGTTTTGTCGTTTATATCTGAGGCCTGTACTTCAACGCAGTATCTGAAGTCAACAAAGTAA